GGGACCCGCGCCGCACCAGCCGAAGCCGGCGGCTAGAAGGGCTGTTCCCGTTTTTCACATTTCTTGGGGAGACTGGGAAACTCGGAGGATTAAAAAATGAGTTTGGGACTTTAGTCTGCTGGCTCTGTTGAGGCCAGCAAGCCTCCAATATAATAAAAGATAGCACTTTTCCTGCAAAAGTTAGGAGTTGCTCTAGCAGGGGCCATGCTCCTCCTTCTCTTTGTTTTGGGGATGGTTTGGTGTTAAGGATTTCATCGGGTGGCCTAGGTGCTTAGATGGAGTTTATTCTTAGCTGGTGACGGCTCTGGACAATGCCTGGGTGGGAAGGGACGTTCAGGGCCGGGATTCCTGCCGTGGCTCCTCAGTCCGTCAGCTCTGTGGCTGCATTTCCACACCAAAATATCTTACGGGCTCGTTCCTCTGCTTTCCGGCAGGTCGGTGAGGTTTAACAAGGGCTACACGGCGCTCAGCCAGACCGCGGATGAAAACCTGGTCTCCCTCGATTCGGACAGGTGGGGACTGGGTGAATATCCCAGGATTTTGGGTGGGGGAGTGTTGCAGGCTCAGAGCTGGCTTTTTTTGGGGATTGATTTTCCTTATCACTTGTAGAGCATCCTCAATTGCACTGGGCACTTCTCAGCAGCAAAACACTCCTGTTGTCCCAAATTTAACAAATCTCTTGGGGTTACGCTGCCAGCTCCCTTTTTCCTCCCCCTGAGATTCCCTTGTCTGTATCCCAAACAAAGACGCTGCTTCCCAGCTGGCTCTGACCGTTTCCTTCTTCTCTTAGTGACGGGGAGCTGGGATCCAGATGTTCCTCGGGCTACTCCTCTGCCGAGGCAAGTCCAGGGGTTTGACCCCGACGGCACGGTCCCCGCGCGTTCCCTCGTCCCTGTTACACCTCGGGGTCTGTGCAGGGGCTGAAATGAAGCGTCACCCCGCGGGGTGTGTTTGTGCGTGTCCATCCCGCAGAGTTCTGCTTTGCAAACTGCTGCCTCTGCTGCGCAATATATTTAAGCCATGTATAAATCTCTCTTTTGCAAGCCCCAGCCGGCTCTCTCTGCTTTACCCTTTGCACCTAAAGCATCGTCTACCCCCAGACCCTGCAGCGGGGCAGCTGAAGAGCTCCATTATACAAGGGTGTCGCAGCCCGCAGGGTGTTTTGGGGTGCACGGGGTGTGTGTCGGGGCGTTGCAGCCCAGGAAAAGCTCTTTGGTCTTTTGCTTTCATCTTCTCTGCTGTGGTTGTGCTGCTTCTCCCCACGCAAAGGCACTGGAGGGAGGATGCGATGCCCTTCTTTGCTCGCAACCCCACCCTTTGCAAGCCCTGGGACCTAAATTTTGACTAAACTGGGACTAATTTTAACCAGTTCTGCCTCCTTTTTCCCCGCTCCAGCAGGTGAACCAGGACCTGAGCCGGCAGCTGCTGCAGGATGGGTATCACCTCGACGAGGTCCCCGATGACGAAGATCTGGATCTCATCCCCCCGAAACCCATCGCCTCCTCTTCTTGCCCCTGTTGTTTCGGAGAAAATCTCTCCTGCGTGATCCAGTAGTCGCCGCTCGGCCAGGGCCGAGCAAGAACAGGTCAAAAGCCAGCACTTTCTCTGTCCCGTGGGATGGCTGTTGGTGTCCATGTCCCACGCTGGGACGGTGACACAGGTACTGAATGATGCTGCGATGCTGCTCGTGGTGAGCAGCAGCAGCCAGCCAACCCCGAAGGACTTTTCCTTACACTCAGCAATATCAGGGAGAGGTGGCACGGTGACGTTTAGGTGGCCTGGGTGGGACCTGTGGCCTGGCTGGGGTGGGGAGGGAGGAGAGGCAGAGCCCGGGCACCTCCATGGGGGTATAAAGGGAAGGAATTGGGAGGGGCAGCAGCAAATGCTCCTCGGTTTGCCTGACCTCCTCTTTTCCTCCTTTAATTGGCCACGTCTAGGATTAGGACCTGGCCCCAGACACGTGTTGCCCTCCCTAACGAAGAGGTGGTCGATGGTGGGGTCGAACCGCCGTGGTGTGGGACCGGGCTGGGAAGCCCTGAGACCCCTTTTCTATTTATTTTCGCTTTAGTCACCCCCTCTCCCTGGCAGGCCGAGGCCAAGCCAGCGAGGTTGGGCTGGCAGAGAGCTGCTTCATTTACCTATCTCGTGCTGCTTGCAATTAATTGCAGCCGGGTTTCCTCCTCCCAAAGCCTGGGCTGACCTGAACCAAAGATTGCTGCTCTGGCAGAGAAGATAAGGTGGGGAGAAACCCAACGGAGCAGATTGGGGCAGGCTGTTGAGCTTTAAGCATCTGCATTTGTTATATCCACCAGCAGCTACCGCTTGGGCTGGGACCTCCCCGCTTCCCGCCTCTCGAGGGACCTCTTAGGTCCATCAGTTCTGGGTTTGGAGCCAACGGCTTGTCCCAGTTCTCCCCAAAGCTGCTTTGATGCAGGCGAGGGACAGCCCAGACCCCTGTGCCAGCTCTGCGCAGTTCCTTTGGTGTGGATTTGGGGTGGCTGGGGAGTCTACCTGCTGTGAACCTTAAAAGCTGCCTTAAACCATGGTCCTGCTCTACTACACAGAGGACAATCAGCTTCTTATAAAGAAACCTTATTTAAATATTTCATGTCTAGAGACCTGAACTGGGTTTGGTTTTTTTTTTATATTTTCCTTGTTGAAGAGAGCACTCAAAAAACTGGATCTCGTTACTCGGAGGGTGCGTCGGTGCTGTGGTGGGGGGCCGCACCCCGTTCCCCCCGGCAGCCCCACTCAGGAGGGCTCCTTCACCAACCCTGCTGCATTTTCAGAGCGATCCCATTTCCCTCGTCACATTTTACCCCGTTGTCCTGTTTCCCTGCGGAGCTGCCACGTCGCCCGGGCTGATGCTGCCCCAGGGCGATGCAGACAAGGTCGCAGCCGGTGCCGGCGGGGGGCCAGCACCGCCCCCAGCCTCCATCTCTGGTCCCCAAACCCTGCAAACCCCACGGCTTCTCCCCATCCTCCTCCTGCTCCCTACACCACGCTGCCCTGCGCCCAGGACAAAGTCACCACTTTATTCACAGCACCGGAGGCTCTCCAGCTCCATCACCCCCCCCAGGCAGCCCCTTTTTACAGCCGGGGAAGGGGTGACATAGCTCATAGCTGCCATCGGCCAGGCTCGGGAAGAGCCCACCAGGCACCCAGGAGCAGCAGAAAGCCTCAGCGTCACATTCGCAGGAGGGAGCAGCAGCTCCTAGAAGCCGGGCAGAGATGCATGAGATCTGCGGTGCAGACCTCAGGCCTCCCTGCTGCTTCTTGGCAAGAAGGAAGGGGGAAAAAAAATAATAAAAGGAGTCTCCATATAGCATTAGCAGCACCCAGAGGGGACGATGCTACGGGGACGTGGCTAACGAGCTGCGAGGGGAGACGATCTTCCTCTGCCCGCTCTGCTCCGTGCCATGTCCAAGGAGTCGATTCATGGAATTGCTCTTTCTATACATTGGGTGCGGGCTGGTTTTGGGGTTTAATAGATGGAGGGGAAACTTCCAAGCGAGATGACACTGCCCAGGCCAGTTTCTATCTACTCAAACGTGGAGAGATGAGGGGGAAGCGCCCTGGGTCCCGCTGGAGGCAGCGGGCGCGGAAGAGCAGCATCCCGTCCGGCGAGGAGAGGTGGAGGGAGATGCTCTCGTTAGCGGAGATGAAGAGCACAGAGCCGCGACGCAGAGTCATTTCAGAGGCTGCGGCTGTGGAGGTGCCCGTGGCCGTCCCTTGGATCACCAGCAAGATGCTGGCAGAGTCCACGGCGGAGACGAGGTAGAGCTTGATGGAGGGGGGGATCTGCAATGGAAAGGGTCACCGCGGCTTGAGTCTTCCCCAGCTTTGGTTCTCTTTGGAGAGCTGGAAGGGGGTCATCCCTGTTCCCAGCCTGCAGCCGCCTTTGCTGTGCCCAGGCCACCCTGCGCCTGCAGCAGCCCAAGCCCAGG